CATTTTCATGTCACGCAACGCAAAAGCTTGGAGTGCTCTGTTACAAAAAGAAGAACTCTGTCGAGCTAAAACATTGTCAAACGTCACGTTCCTACAGGGTCTTTTATCTGATGAAACTAAAACCTCAAAAGGAAGGATAATTTCTAATTTTGGAATATGACTACGTCACATGAAAACCAAGAATAGGCTAAAAATCACGAGATATAGATTTTTCGACATACGCGTTCGTAGCTTTATGCCACGTACCTCCACAACTCTGAAATTCAAAATGCGCTGGTTTCCAGACGAAGCAAGCTACTAAACTGAAAAGTTGTAAGCAGATATGAATTTAGCACCCCTTATGCCTGATGAGGATAAAAACTTTTTTAGTTTTGGATTTTAGAACATGACGACGTCACGTGCAAACGACGAAGTTATTACATGGAGTCACAGTCCTCGCTCGCCTCGCCGTATTGTTCTTTTATCTTGAAGTAGGTCATAAACTTCAACAAATAATTGAATTGCAAATTCGATTATCTTTCCTTTTATTACCATCAGAAATGATGATGTTCAGACCTCTTCGTAATGTCGCAAAATGCCGAGCTTCTTAAGCGAAAGAAACCCGCTAGCTAGAACAATCGACATCTGTTGTCCTCACTCAAAGAGAAATACCGAGGTTACACCTTAGCTTGGAAATTAAAATAGAGAAAAGAGAAAATCCATTCTTAAGGTTGAGGAGTACAATGTGTCGAGTGTGATAGCATAAATTTGTGTTCTACATCGTTATTTTTATTTCGTGGAACAGTTGTGATTGCATGAAGTAAGGCAGTGATTGGCTCGCTTATAATTGGTTGTTTACATTCGCGCTTTGGCACACAGGAAGTACTTCCGCAATTCTTCTACCCACTGTTAAAGCGAAAGCACCGAGCGACGAAGCTTACCGTGAAGATGGGTTGGAGTTTGCAGCAACAGGCAAGACTTGGATTGGAAAAAGATGTTTTGGATACAAAGTTAAAGAACGTGACGTGGATTAACCCCACATCAGCTGGAGATACCAGAGTCGAATGGCGAGTCAACACTAACAACGGCAACAGCTACACGCTCCGTGTGTACCTCGCCAGTGACTTTCCAAACAGCTGCCCGGTACTTGTTGTAAGCTCTCCTTCTTCTCCATTGAGGAAAAAGGATGGATCTCTTCTTAACAGTGATGACGGGAGAGATCACGTTTATTCAGCGCACGATGGTTTGACGAAAATTTGTCACTTTATCCCAGATAAGTGGACGAGCGAAAATACCATATACCAAGTCTTAATGAAAGGTCGGATCTGGTTAGAAGCTTATGAGATTCACCTGCGTACCGGAGAATATCTTGACAAGTATCTGGCACACATGCAGTGACTTAAAATTAAACGAGCATTTAGTAGTTTGTATGGCGAAATGCCTTGTTTGTCCGAAGTAGGTTTGTCACGCTCAAGCATACAATGATGATATTAAAAATAATCCTAATAATCAAGAAGACACTGTCTTCGAACTGAATAACAAGGTAGCGAGGTTGAAATATATATGCTGCAGTAATATAATTATACAAGCAAAAATAATGGATGGATTTTAAGAGCGCTTACTATATTGAATATGTAGCGGTTCACTGGCAAGTGTGTATAAAAGTACTGCACATAACGCCCGCTGATTAGTGAAACAAATGAAAACTGAGTTTATTTTCAAATTTTCAGTTATATATATATATATATATATATATATATATATATATATATATATATATATATATATATATNGCCCGCTGATTAGTGAAACAAATGAAAACTGAGTTTATTTTCAAATTTTCAGTTATATATATATATATATATATATATATATATATATATATATATATATATTCACATGTGCAGTATTTAGCTCCAAAGTTGTGGGTCGTGCGTGCAGTGAACACTTGTATTATAATTAACCAGTGTAATTCTGTGACGTTTCATTTCTCGGAAGCTTCACATAGTTGTTTTTCACTGCCCGTCGACAAAGGGGCATCATGAACACACATTTGTTTATACAGGCTCAGTTGAGACACCAAAACTAGAATTCCTATGGCGAGTGTTTGTAATTTGGCAGGAAAAAGGACAAGTATTGTTAAATGATATGTTTCTTGTAGAGCAACCTTTTCCCAGAAGTCTTCGAGTTTTAAAATTCTCAATTCTCTGCGGCATATCATAGGGCTTAATAAAGCGAACTCAAGCCTGACTGACTGTTGACTTATTTAGTGGAACTCTCCGCTCTACTTAAGTTCTTAACGAATTGATCATGCAACTAAATTGTCATTGTTTGTGTGAAAATAGACAGAGACTTCCTCCCTTTCTTGGAAAGTCAGGAGTTCCGAACTGGCTATGTCATGTGCTTGGTGAGATTTTTCATAACAATGTTAAATTTACGAGTCAGGCCCGCAAAAAAAGAACGATATACACCAAACACGAAGATTACCGAGCTTAATGAACCTAATTTACAACACAACTCAGCAAGCTATGGCTAAATTCCAGGGTATAGAGTTTTAGGGAAAATTACCGACTGAAATATTGCATTTCTTCTTGACCTTTATAACTTGTTGTTAACGCTGAAGATACCTGAGAAGAGCCTAAAATCAAGTGGTTTGCAGGATGCGGGATTTTTAGGCCAAAAAATTAACAGGGAAAATTAATGGGAGTGCTCCTGTTGAATCATAAATAATGCACTGAATGTTACTTTTTTACTGAAGCTACGCTTGAATAAATGCGTTGAGACACATTATGCTACGTCATGAGTACAATAAAATGTGCAAAACAATTCTGAACTTCTTTACTTTTGTCATAATTCTGAACGGTTACGTGGATATATCACAGTACGACATAACATGATTTCGATTTATATTAGATTTCAGAGTTTTTTGAGCCACTAACTGCATGGGCGTAACTACAATAACTTTGCAAAATCACACGGAAACAACCTTCTCCACCTGCGTCTGTGTCTCCTAGATAAATCTATGTCGTGAAGTTGGCATTAAGCCATGCTGCTAAGTCCTTAATTTCTTGAATACAAACAACAGTCAGCTCCCTAGTTAAACCATTGTCCTATGTACATGTACAAAGTTTTCAATCCCAATGTTACTAATTATTTAAACTGAAGCAACAACTCGAGGACAACGTAGAGCATGACTGATTATAATAATAGATATTGATTATATAACATGGAAAATTCTGGCTGCTGGTCATTCTACTTCCTGCTCGAAAATGTTACTCTATTACCAAAAGACGGACATCTAAACAGAAATTGTTCAAGAAGAGCATGCAGGACTGTTAACTACTGCTTACAGTTCCGCTGCAAGTCGCTGCTCGTCGCCGATGGCACTGGTTCTGCTGCCAGTGTTACTGCTACTACCGCTACGTCTTCTCTTGCAGCACCTTCTACTGCCGTGTGATCGGAAACAGTCCAAGATGCGAGGCATCATTTCTTCAATCCTTTCTCAGACTTGCATAGTCTTTAATAGTGTCGAAAAAGGCTAGTGCTGTATGATCTCGATTCGCTTTGCGTAGAAACGATTTTCACTTGTTTCCCTTTTTCGCTAGCTTCTCGCCAGTTCAAAACCTCCATCTTTCCTGTAGAAATGACCATCACCAAGACAAAGCCCTGATATTGCTTGGGATTCTCAGAGAACTCGCTCACTGATGGTCGGGACGACCTTTGAAATGCGGCGTTCACATCTCGAGGGCGACTTCGGGGACAGTCCTTGTAGTTTCGAGGATGGCCATCGTTAAAGTTGCTCGGAGGTACTGGAGAAACGGATCTCACTTTTCGAGCGGGACTGGCGTTTAAATATCGAGGATGGTCCCCCTTAAAGTTTTGGTAATGGCCAGCGTCGAAGCTGCATGGAGGTTCCGGAGGGTATACCTTGTAGTTTTGGTAATGGCCAGCGTTGAAGTTACAAGGAGGTACCGAAGGGAACGGGACGAAGTTTCCAGGAGCCATGGCGTAAGGATTGCAAGCAGGCACCCAAGGAACGGGGAACATGTTTGCAGGAGGAAAGCCCATACAGTTAAAAGAAGCCATGCTATTGAAGTTTCCAAATGCAAAAGCAGCACAGTTTCCAAACGGATAAGGCATAAAGTTGCCATAACAGAAGGCGGCCCACATTTTGCATCGGAGTAGTGTTGTTACAAAATCGCTCAGATCTAGCGCTGCTACAATTAGCTTCTGCAAACAGCAGTGACAACTATATATTTCTAGAAATATGCTACTGGTCAGCAGTGATGACTGAGTGTCAATCACTGTCAAGAAGATCAAAGGCATAGGGACTGTATTTGCCAACTTGGTATTTATGAAGATCAAATTAACAAAGTGCATTATCAAAGGAAAAAGGACGCTGGCTTAATCATGCACGGTTCAACCTCAATATATAGCAATGTTTGCACGGGTATCTTCTTCCCATTCCTTCCTTGAAAAGTCAACTGGTGGGTGGTTGATAATTGAGCACCGGCCTGATGATTAATAATTCATAAATAATACCTCATCTAACGGCGAGGATTGTTCAGTTAGCAAAAACTATAAATCATCTTTGATAAAGTGGCGCGCCTTTCCAGTCAATATTCAAACAACCTTGATATACAATACATCCATTACATTTCTGTACCATATTTTTTATTTCGTTTCTGTATAGTTATTATTTTGCTTCTTTATTTTTCATGTTGCTTCTATATTTTTTATATCTATTCCTATTAATTTATATATGAGTTTAGCTCATCTATTTTTTATTTTGTTCTCTTTATTTTATATGCGTTCTATATTTTTTTATATTTATTCCATATTTTTTTTGTTCCGAGTGAGATTTTTAATTTTTTTTAATCAGTTTGCAACACGTGATCACATGACCGCGATGCACTTCCTCATTGCGCCATTTTGGCGTTTGGTTACATGAAGGAAGAACTGTCTACTGCTTGTCGTGCGGCCGCGGATGCCTTAGAGATTTTAAGTAATTTGAGACCTGGTTTTACCAGAAATGTTACACTTCGGATGAATTTAACGGCAGTCTCTGTCAGTCAGCCGAACAACGGGGATCGTCAGGTGAACAACGAGGAACCCCAGGCGAACGAACGTGCCATTCAACTCTCGACGTCGCCAGCCTCAAGCAGTTCTACTCAAGCTCGGCTTGCCACTCTCTTTCCGACAATGGGCTCGAACCGAGCTAGTAGGAAAAGCACTGGAAGAAGACTAGCAAGGTCAAAGCAGACCATTAAGTCGACCAAAGGCCGCCCATCTAAGACACTTGTTTACAAGGATCTAGTCCTTATTCCCAGTCCCAAGATAAACAAAGTGCCTACACATACAATCCGACTTCAGTTAGAAGAGAGAGAGCTTGTCTGCCACGAGTTTCCCTTTGACAAGAGCTTGGATGCAAATTCCCTCAAAGCTGCTATGTTGAATCGATTTCCAAAGCTTTTGCTATTTGAATATGTCAAGGTGGGTAACTTTCCACTTGTGGTGTAAGCTTATACATTGTTCTACTTTTAATGAAATAATAATAATAATATTATTGTTGTTCAGTTAATTTGTACATTTATTGTAGCTGCACTATTTCTAAATACGCATTTATACTATTTTGCCAACAATTTGCCCAAACAAGAGAATATCTGCAGTGACCCGAGTAATTGACTTACAATTTTCGGCAGAAGTTGTTGAATTATCCAGAATAGCTCTGGTAATGCCCCACTCTCACCCCTTCAATTAATTGAATAGTTTTTCCTTGCTTGTGATATAAGTTTAACTTAATTACTCTTTCATTAAATTTACCCTTGACTTTTGCAAGAAGCCTGCAAGTAATATGTGTTTTTCGTAACCAAGCCATGGTATGGAAAGCAAATAACTCCTAAGTTGGCAGATGGCATAACTCTGAATGCAGAAAGAGTGACCAGGATGGCTGGTCAAGAAGCTGGTTATGTTAGATCACTGGTGCCTTTGGAATCTGAAGATGTGGCGCGAAACTGAAGAGGAGCTAGAGAATTCAGTATTGGATAGCAGTCCAAGGGTGAACGTTTTCTTGTGAATTTTTGCATTGAACAAGATAACACCTGTATGGATTTCTTTAAACTTTTTCGCCTCACTACAAAGGTATTTATGTGGTAGCTTCCCAATGCAGTATAATAACCTTGTATATGATAGATTGGCTTATTATCCAACTGCAGTGAATACCGTCCAAATAACAGTACAAATACATCTTATTAGATGTTTTTGGTGTGTAGTATCGCTGTATATTTTTACGAGTTGTGCCGCATTTTGACGAGCCCGTAGGGCTCGTCAAAATACAAACAACGAGTAAAAATGTACAGCGATACTACACAGCAAAACATCTAATTGGAGATTTATTATCCAACAGCTGTAGTCAATAAATTTATCAATGAAAGAGGGAGTGTGTGACAGTTTTGCGTGCGCGCGCTGACCTGTACGGCGAACAGGTTTTCTACCGTACAAATACACCAAACAGATTTTCTACTGTGCAATATCGCTGTATATTTGTACTGTTATTTGGACAGTATTCGCTGCAGTTGGATAATAAACGGCGATATGGTACAGTTATTTGTACAGAAGAAAACCTGTTTGCCGTACAGGTAGGCGCGCGCACGCAAAACTGTCACACTCTCCCTCTTTCATAGATGAATTTATTGACTACAGCAGTTGGATAATAAATCTCTTATTGGATGTTTTGGTGTGTAGTATCGCTTTATACTTTTACTCGTTGTTTGTATTTTGACTCGCCCTACGGGCTCCTCAAAATACGGCACAACTCGTAAAAATATACAGCGATACTACACGCCAAAACATCTAATAAGATATATATATTCTAGCTCGTGCTACTAGGCATGAAAATGGCTTTTTGTTGGAAATATTATCCGGTTTGTCTCCAAACAGATTTGTGTATTTATTTATTTTGTTTATTTATTTGTTTGTTTGCTCAGATATTTATTCAATTCTTTAACAGGACATAAATTGATTTTGTATATTGCAACTCCATATGATTGTGGACACTTGTCTAAAGATGAACACTTCATAGTATGCTACATCATTGCCACTTAGTTCACTTTGGTTTTTTTTTTTTATGCTTTGTGACAAGTTAATATTTCTTTTAGTGTTAGTGGAGCACAAAGAAGCCCTGTGTTGCTTTCATTCGGGGAGAGCGATGGGAGGCCAGATGCAGCTGTGGTGCCCCACCCCTGCCAGGAGGCTGCACAACGTTTTTGTGTTCCATTTCCAACTGAGGCAGGAACATCACATCAAAATACAGAGTTAAATGATGTAGAGACAGGCAGTAACTCTGATATTGTTTTGGCATCATCTGAGCTACCTGTACCAGTAACTGCACCTGTTTTAGGCAGTAACTCTGATATTGTTCATGCATCATCTGAGCATGTACCTGTACTTCAACTGCTATCCAACTGCTATCGTATCATCCAAGTGCACCGGTTAAATATTAAGAAGGATTTGATTGACTTATTCCGATATCCATTAATTATGAGTCAAGACATAAAGATATTAAATTGTTATTGATGCTAGGAGAGTTGAAGAAATTGGCAGAGGTGTTGGGTTGCTTAGAGATGTTTTCTCCTCTTTTTTGGAGGGAAACATTTGATATATGATTCCCTTTTTGTTAGAGAAAATGAGCGTGTACCATTTGTAATACATGACTATTAAAGGGATAAATGGGTTGCTGTTGGCAGAATTTTGGTGAAAGGATATTTGACCTGTCAGTACCTACCAGTCCCTCTGTCTGAAACGTTCCTTACCTGTCTTTTTTGTGGGCAATCTGCTGTAACTAGCGCTATGCTGACTCAGTCCTTAAAAAATTACATTTTAGTAGATGAAAAATGTTTGATTGACAAGTGCCTTGCTGGTGATATGAAGTGCGATGATGAAGACGAAGTGTCCCAGCTTTTAAAAGTACTTTGTAACTATGACTGTCGAATTATGGTAAATTCTGAGAATTTCATTCAAGTTATTCAAGAAATAGCCCGTAAGGAGCTGCTGCAGAAGCCACAGTATATTGCAGACTGCTAGAAAGATATAGTTTTCACACACTTTCCTAGTTTTCCTGATTTTGCAGCACTTTCCAAAAGGTATGAATTAATTGTTAATACCATCCACGAGCAAAATACTTAGTTGCCTAGAGGCAAACCCTGAAAGTGATGGCGAAAGGGATAGCCTTAAGTTTTTTAGACGGTATATTAAAGGCCTTAACACACCTCAGAAATTATCAAAGCTTGTAAGGTTTATCAGTGGGTCTGAGTTAATGCTTTTTGACGCAAACCATTTTATCTGGTATGGGTCACCGACCAATTGCCCACACTTGCAATACTGTGTTGGAGCTATCCTAAACTTATCATTCATTTCCTGAACTTAGAGAGGAGTTCAGTTCAATACTTGCATCACATTATTGGGAAATGGATATTATGTAATATGCTTTGGGACGAGAAGAAGACCATTATGGTGGTAAGCTGATTTAGAACAGACTGATAATTTCATTTTTCATATATGAATTGTGTTTTCTGCCTTTGATGGGTATTTACAGTTTTAAAACATGTAACAACAGTGCACAAATTATTTGTGCACCGATTCCTGTACATCATACTGGGAAATCATTAGCTAATGGCTTATTGTAGTATCAAGCTTGTTATCTGTTTAAAGTTGACATTTTAAAGCGAACGCAGCTGTTTAGAACTATATTGAGATTTTAATGTACTTTTTTCCTGACTGTTGTAAGGGTTAAGTTGCATTCGTTGTGTTCTATTCTGATAGATAAAATTTGAAGGCAAAGTAATAAATTTCGCACTGTTTACGTTTTCAATCCGTCATCGAAGTTGGTAGTCTACGATTAACCGTAAATGGGAAGCAAGAGTAAAGAACTCTCTACAATTTTCTAGCAGAATGTCTCTTGTTCCATGTTTCACTCTTAGAGTGAATTATGCTACCCAGGCAATCAATCCTCACAAAAAAAAACAAACAAACAAACAAACAAAAAACAAAAAAACAAAAAAAACATGACTTTACGCAATTAATATTCCTCGTTTTACAATTAGAATTTAGTGATGCCAGCTTGATAGGCGTTAATTGATCTTAATTCTCAAGGTGGCCCCATTTTCACTCTCTAAACAACGGATTTCCGGTTAGGTGGATGCTGGGAACACCTGTTTTGAAACATAGCTATCACCAAAACGGCCTTATCTCAGCAAAGCTTCTTATATGTTGAAATTATATGTTCTTATATGTTGAAATGATTCCCAAGGATGTCTATCTCACATATAGAGTTCTACCATGTTCACCAATCGTCATTCAAAGGGTGTCAGGAGACTTCCAAAATATGCAGTTGTTGTGATGTGAGCTTAACATCAACTGCTGGTATTGAGACCTGGTAATCGTCGTCGTCTAACGGGAAAGGTCCATCTGGATCAAACCCATACAATGGAATTTCACTTGGATGTTGAATACTCTCAACTCCAGAGTATCCAGAGTGTATGTTCTCCATAATCCCAGAGGCGAAAATTTGTAGGGGAGATAATTGATGTTTACTTGAGACAGGGTGATTGTTCCATTGACCAGTAAAGTGTTGCAATGCCCTATTTATACTTGGTATGTAGATAAAGTGCAATGAAAATAAATGTACTTCGTTTTACCGGTCAAGAAGACCCATGTCTTCCATACCGCTAAAGATATTGGCAAAGTGACCAAGGACACCAGCGTAGACATCTCTATGAGCGCGCTCAACACGGCAGTTGTGGACAGAGCTTCCCGTTATGATATTTCCTCTGTCCAGTCCTCTATTTTCCAACATGTACTGTGCCACTCCAACATTTTCCAGTCCATGATCGCTATTTGCTCTTGAAGGTAAGCCAAACTCTTGTACTCCCTTGATGAAGAGCTCCAACACTGTATCTGCACGGTTGGCAGTTAGCATTTTGCTTTTGAAACTGGCGGAAAAGTGCATCGCGGTCATGTGATCACGCGTTGCATACTAATTAGAAAGAGAATAAAAAATCTCACTCGGAACGAAAAAAATATGGAATAAATATAAAAAAATATAGAACGCATATAAAATAAAGGGAACAAAATAAAAAATAGATGAGCTAAACACGCATATATAAATTAAAAGGAAGAGACAAAAATATAGAAGCAAAATGAAAAATAAAGAAGCAAAATAAAAAAATACACAGAAAGGAAATAAAAAATATGGCACAGAAATGTAATGGATATATTGCATATTAAGGTTGTTTGAATATTGACTGGAAAGGCGTGCATCTTTCCACCTTCGCCAAAGTCTTCTCGGGCCACTGTTTTAATGTAACGTAACGCAAAAGCTTGGAAATTCAAACGGACACTATTTCAAAAGGAAGAACCTTGCCGAGCTAAAAATTCAAGTTTTTTGAGTGTCTTATATCTGATGCAACTGAAATAACAAAAGAATAGGTGATTTTTTGTTGTTGCTGTTGTTGTTGTTGTTGTTGTTTGTTTGTTTAAGTTTAAATATGACGACGTCCGAGTAATACGGCAATACTGCTTCCCACATGCCAGCACGACCACAGTTGAAGTGTGGTGTCTGGTGTGGTGTCCGGCGTAGTGCAGCACTAATTGTGGTTAAGTAAAAAGAGTTGCAAACGGGTAGCAAATTAGACTTATTCACAAATCCTTCCTCCTTAGAAACCGAACGTTCCGTTGCCCTTGTTAATTAAACATCGTCCAATGCGTTTATCAGTGCAGTTTTCATTGAAAGAATTGCATTCATTGGCCTAATTATATAAGATACGTGACTATGTAGTAAATTGCAGCGGATGCACGCTACTGGACTTGGAATCACTGGTTGAGACTGAAAGAATAAAAAGCTGTGGGAGTCAACATTCTGCCTCCATGAGACGACATGAAGTCTCTCCTAGAGCTCCGTAAAAACCTGAATCCAACTCTGTCGCTCTACCCCAGCCAAATTACCCCATCTCTCATATATCGATGCTGGTCCTCTTTCTTACAGGTCCCAAGTCTTCCTGTAGCGGCGTCAAAATACAAAATTGTGTCGTCATCGGACGACTACCGAAAGAAGCTAGAGTTGTCTGAGCTCCCAAATTCATTTGAAGTGGCAACAATTTTCACCTTCGCCGCCTTAGAGCGAGCTTCTAGTATGGTCATCACCTCCATCTTTCCTGTAGAAAGGACCAAGACCAACATGAAGTCGGGGTATTTCTCAGGGTTGTCTGAGAACTCGCTCACGGATGGACGACTCGATCGTCGACAGCTTTGTGATGCACTTCTGTTTTGAGAAAGGACGACTTCTAACGCGTTGGTGTTTAAAAAATATGGAGGATCGCGTCGTGTGCTTTGTTCTGCTCCCATCTGTTAACGCAAAAACTAGGACTCTCTTCAAGTTCTTCTTCAACTCTCTTCAAGTTCTTCAGTGTTATGGTCGACAAAATAGAAAACGTCTCCTATTTGAAATCATGCAAATTCTTGGAACCGTCTTCGTTGTATGAAGGCGCTTCGCTGTTGTTGGTCAGCGGAAGGATAGTAACTTTTTCTGGGAAGAGCGGAAGTCCCAGCTAGTCACAGCCGATCAACGAAGGCGGTGCACGAACATTAGGAGACATTAGAAACTTATATGAGAAGGAAAGATCAAATAATAGAGGTGTTGGAATTAAGAGGCAATAGGCCTTTGGTAAGAAACTTTGACACAACAAGAACAATAAAAACCATGGGGAATACCATGAGGTTGTCACACCGGTGACTTGGTGGTAGTCCGTGACAGCGGGTAACAGTCTCAGCCGTCTCTTCCTCTCTCATTGGTCAAAGTGATATTATTTTCTATACAGGTGACCTTTCCATATCGCGAGACCTTTTTAATATACAGCACGAACGAGGGAAGAAAAGTTTAACCCAGAGAAAAGCATGGAAGACCATCCGATCCTTACGGAAACCGAGGACAGGGATCCGCAGAACTACAATGCTTATCTGAAGGTAAGGATAAATTATTTCGCTAGTGCCAATGGATCTCAGTGCTGAACTCTGCTGAACTCCACTGAAGCAGTCAAATGGTTGCTGATATTTGATACGGAAAATATGCGAACTGTAAAGATTGCGTTCGATTCATAACATCCAGTTTATTACTGAATTCCTCAATCGAAACTCATGGACGTTGTCTCTGTTAGAGGGTACGAACGACCTTTAGCAAATGACGGCAACGGCAACGAGAACGCCGCCAAGCAAAAGTGTTAACAAGAAGATCTTTTAGATCTTACAACCGCGCTTTTAAAAGTTAACTGTTTTGGTAGCACTACAGTCGGTGGCAGTGCAATGCACATTCCAAAGCAGTCCTTGATGATTCATTGATTACTGTAGACA